AGTGATTTGGCTGAGCAAAACCTGCCCTCTTAATTTCCCAAACAGCTCTTCATCTTACAACAAACACATACCCCGCCACAGAGCTGCACATCCTGCTGTAAACCGAATTAAACAGAAACTAAAGATTTGTGTAACCTTTCTTTAGATTAAAAATTGGCGGATTAGCAGATGTCTCCCCTTTTTTAACTTCTTTCATGAGCTATAATTAAATCCTGAACAAATTCAGATAAATTTCTCCCCTGAGTGTGCTCCAAAACTGTTTGTTTCCTTTAGTCAAAAGTGTTGAAAATGTGAAAAAGAAAAGTCCTTGGCAGACACAGATACGTTTTTTGGCACCAGAATCTGGACAGGAAAGATGTGTCTGTGTTTTTCGCATTAATCAGATAAATCTGCCACAGGATTAAATCACTGATTATCATTCAGAGCATGCTTTGTTCCATTCAGACATGGAGGATAATTGTTATACATCGCCTGCCCTGTATGAATAATAGGATCTAATCAGAATCACTCATAATCAACCCCGAGAGGCATCCTCCTCGTCTTTGCACCATCCCTGGAATCAGGATGTGGAGTGTTCGGGGCATCCAGTAGATGGCAGTACTTCCTCAGCTTGTCTGGACCGAGTGCAGTGAGTCTAAACCAGGGACAAAGGTCAAATAACACCGCAATGTTGACCAGGAGAGGGTCAACACATAAATATCTCAGGGGACTTTCTCAAGTGCCGACTGCGGCTCCTTAGAGTGAGATTTACCAGAGGAAGAGGGAGAAGTCCCATTTCCACCTCGGCAAAATGAAATCAGAAGCCCCTGGGATTTGAGGCTGACCTTCCTGACTCTCCCTGCTGCTGAGTGATTACTGAAATATTAGAGGCTGGAAGGTGTGCGGCTGTATTAACCTCTCAAGGCTGTGCTGTGAAATAAATGTACACATTAATAAAGATTATCCGCTGATTAACATCTCACTTCCTACCTCATTAACTGTAATCTCAAGTCTCATGAAGCGGACAGAGCGAGAGGATGACACAGAAGTCCCCGCTCTACTCTGTGGTGTTTAATTTAAGGCCGAATGCCAATCCTGTTTGTGTAACGTTTAGTGGACAGGAATTCCTTTGGTTCACTTCAGACCTGCATGCATTTTATTGGCTTGTGTGGGATTTGGGCAGGAAACCAGAGCTAATGCCCCCTCTCCCACTTCAAACGGATGCCAGGCACCCTTAAATGTCATGGGGTGGTTAGAGAGTTGAAGGAGGAGGAGGAGGGAGAAGTGAGACTCTGGGACTCGACGGGCCAGAGAGAGAGATCCAGCCACTCCGGGCTCTCCTCTCCTCGGAGCTTATCAGTGTGTTCTGGATGTAGCTTTACCGAGGCTGTTAAGGCAAACCAGATGCAGTCGAGGTTGCTCTGTGCCACTGCGTGTCAGGTACAGGCCGGGTCAACCTGAGGCGCCGTGGTGGTACAGGAGGAGGCCAAACTCGCTGCAGATGTCCTGACTGGAATACAGTAGAGCAGAGCTGTATGATGGGCGACCTGTGAGAAAAACCCGCCTTTTAATCAGACTGAATTATTAGACTCTCCAAACCGTCAACGTCACCAGTTTGATCTCTGACACTAAAGTGAAGCGGTGTGCTCCGATATCATCCGCCAATTTCTACTTAAACTCCACAATGAATTCAGGGAAGCAGCTGAAAACTCAGATTTGAATCGATCGTAAATTGACGGCTCACTCCTGCATAAATTCTCGCTCATGACGATCATAGGAGGAGGTGTAGAAATGGAGGACTGGCACAACAGCGAGTATTTCTATCATCTGGATGCAGTCTTCTCACATATGAATACTTACGATGCTTTAAAGGAGGAACTGTTTCACATAAATGCATCGGTAGTGCTGCGTTCCAGTTGTGCTCCGAAGTCGGGATTTCTGAGCTCCAAGTCGGAAATTCATCTGGAACACACCCCCGAAGTCGGACGATCCTCACTAACCCTGACTTGATGACGTTGTCATAATCCAAGATGGCAGTCCAGTGCATCAACAGTAGAGAGTAACAGTGAAAGCTCTCCTAATGTTTTATTTATTAGCACTTCTGTTTTGTTTTTATGAAATTAAATAAGTGGTTTATGTTGTGCTGCCAAACGTCCAACTGTGAACACGCTGCTATGGTGTTTGTAAGAGTAAAATACTGTGTTATGCGTTGTTTACAACTGGTATCGCTAACAACAGCTAACAGTAGGTGTCCATCTTGCTTTTCTGACTAATGTCATTACCAGCTCCAGCTTCCAAGGGAACTGTAACGCAGCATAAGCTCCATATTTATCTGGAAGGATGAACAGAATAAACTAAGATGGGGTCTTAGTTACTCGGCTTTAAAGGCGTGACAAAGATCCAGACCTTCACCACCTGCATTAATTCAGAAGTGCTCTTCAGGAGGCCTGCAGCACGGTGTTGGGTCCTGTGGTTCATGGTCTTGACTCTGAAGGTTTCATGGTGTCACTTCAATTCCTCAGCCTGATGGATTTCTTCTGGGTTTCGGATCGACATCTTGCCTGGTTTATAGCTGGAGTATCAAAGCCTGCTGGTGTGTGTTCTGGGGTGTGTTGGTCACTGGGAATCCCATGGTGCCTTTCTACTCCTGCCAGCAGCAGTGTTTATAGGATTTTGTCTCATTTTCTCCAGTGTTAATTTATTTCCATAAAGGCAGCCATGACACATTCTCTCCTCTGCTTTCAGTCTGTGCGGCTTCACTTTACTCAGCTTTGAATTTCTCTCCCTGTTGTGGAAAAAAAACCAAAACAGATTGACCTCAGTCCCTCTGCACTCATGCAGACAATGAGCATCATGGTTCTGTGTTTATCGTCATTTCCGTCCGCCTCTGTCTGCTGCTATATGTACATGTCTGCACCACAGACTGACACACCAGCTATAGAGTGACACGCTGGTTTTTAAGACCGCCTTATAGATGAGACCAACACATCTGGGTGCTTTGCCCTTCACTTGAAGCCCCCTTTTTTTTAATGTGATCCACTTTAAGGAGACATGAAGGTGCCAAACGACCTGGATTCCTGATTACACCAAATGTTGTTCACCTGAGATGGAGGAAGGACCCAAACCTCTGCTCTTAGATGGGTTTAAAGACGCCAGTTTACCCATCACAAGCTACATAGCCTAGGGTGACCATACGTCCTCTTTTACCCAGACATGTCCTCCATTTCTGGGGCTGTCCGGCTTTGTCCGGGGGTTTTATGAAATCCCTCAAATGTCGGGGGTTTTGTGTGGAAGTTTTGAGTTTCTGTCGTGTGGATTTACTAAGTTAGAAGATCGTAAACAAACAGTCGACTCAACCTGAAAACCCTCAAAATTTACTAAGTGTGACTCCGCCCAACGTAGTAGTTTTCTCTTTTTGTGGATTCAGAATATGGTCCCCCTAACATAGCGCCTAAACTCATCAGAACAAAAAGCTCACAAACAACAACACAAATGCCACACAAGAGACCTCTAAATATAGGAAATATTTTAATTGAACACTGAGGAGATAATAAACTTTTACGGCTGAGGAACAAACGACAGCTAACAGCCCCCTACACCCCCTACTGGTGCCCTGTGGTAACTACAACAATATCATGCATCAATATTTTGTTTGCAGTGATTAAAGCAGTACTTTCTTTATGCCTGCGTTGCACGTTTCTGCGATTCATTATGAGCCTTTAGATAAGCTAAGACGGCCTGTTGTTTATGGAAAAGATCGTCCCAGTGATTCTGACATGAAGAAATGATCCATAAAGAATAATTTGAATAATTGGCTTTATTGATAATATATAATTTGGAGCCATATGGCGATGGACTCGCCTCCAGAGCCAGCTTTAAGTCAAACTGCAGTTTTTTTCTTGCTGTATCTGTTTAATGTCGCTGCTGCTCGGTTTACACCCTGCTATTTCTTGGCTTTGTGGTTTTTGATAACCTCTCACTATATTGTTACTCCTCCTGAAGCGTATCATTATGGTCCGTCTTTGTCGATGGCTAAATTAACATGCTGTGGTGGACTTTTAATTCCCCAGGTCTGCCTCTGAGTCGGTATCAAACCCCTCCTGCTCTGCGGGTCTCTTTGGCAAAGAGAAAATCCCATTTCTCTCATCAAGAGGATTATAAGAAGCTGATTTTCCTGTGATTTCAGAACCATTAGAGTCTAAATGTGTTGGTTTGTGACCCACGACCTTTTCTCATAAACTGACAAGTGAAACTGGGCTCATCATTTCTCGTCTCAGGCTCTTTGGACCTCCGGGGGTCTGGGTCACGGTTTGGTAGTGTTTGTTCTGTCTTTCTGTCAGACTCATATGATCCAGTGCCACTTAGAGCGGGAGAAAAAGGCTGAGAAATGAGGCATTTCCGGGCCCAGGGGTTTGTTCCTACAGCACAGTGGATTACATTACAACTTACAAAGGAGAGACGTGACTCACTTTTTAATAAAGCTTCCTCTCTGAACACGGTCCCGGACCATCTTAGCGTCTAATCTGTAAAGAGAAAGCCTGCAGAGAGGATACAAAGCTTTGGGACGTGTCTTTACAGCAGGTTACATCCTGCACTCTAAAAAGGTGAGGCGCTGTAACTCCTCATCAGACCGCCATTGTTGAATCCTTCTGCATGGAAAAAGGAAACTCTTATCACACATCAAACAGAGAGGGATCTGTCTTTGTGCCTTTTTTTTAACCTTCTCATGCAACAAACAAAAAAAGGAGTGTAGGCTCTATTTATTCTTCTTCTGGGTTGTACAGGGGCATATGTTTTTCAGATGCTCACACACTGAAACAATTAATAATACACTAACTTCTACAATGTGACAGACATGTGGTGGAGCTTAAAATAGAAAAAGTTTAATTAACAACACAAAAACACAGACATGCACCGTAAAGACTGACATGCATTCGATAAACTCGGTAAAGATGTTCCCGTACGATGATAAATAACCAGCTTTCACGCCTCCAAAGTTCGTGTGCAGATGTCTCGTGTCCTCAGATGGCCATGACCTTGCGTTGTGGAGGGGTTTCCATGGGGACCACACTGTTATCAGTCCAGATTGGCTGTAAGGGATCAGGGTCGATGAGAAGAAGAGGGTGCTGCTGGAAGGTGAGGCTGGGCGGAGGTTGGCGCAGGACGACGATTTGAGCGCTGGGTCCCTGCAGCAGGATGTCAGTCAGCTCCTCTGTCGTGGAGTTAATCACCGGGACACCGTTCACCTCCACCAATCTGCAAGTGAACACACACGCGGGAAACATCATGCATGTTGCTGCAAGCTAAAAAGGATTTTACTACGCCATGAATTCATGCAGTCAGTGTCCTATAACAGATCGAAATCACAGACGAAAGAAGAAAATTCTCATTTAAGAGGCTTTTCTTATCTTCTTGGACGCATTGAATCTAGATCAGATAAAAGTTTTACACATCTGGATTATTCCAGGTTTTTGGGGAGTAACGTCATAAAACAACTTCATATTTTACACGGTGTGAAAGGAAATTAAATTGTATAATAGATGTCTAAAAAGATGATCATTGCTCTAATCTGCTCTATCTTCCATGTATTTCTACTTTTGGCTCCAAATTAAAAAAAAAAAAAAACATATAAGGTTTGAATAAAGAGGGTTACAGGCTTGTTGGATCTGAGTTTGACTTATTTTATGACCTCAAACTTAAACTTAATATCTATAAATACCTTATGATGATAATATGACGTGTTTTTTGGCAAAGGAATAAAGTTTTCTTTATTCTTTGTTTAACCCACAACAAATCATATCTAATAATTTAGAATCAATAGAATATTTTAAACATGACCCCTCTTATTGAAAATCCTTTTATCGGTTTATATTTATGGCTCTCTGGATAAAATCTGACAGAGAAATAACGATGCTGTGTGTGTGTTTTCATTAAACGTGTACTGAGTGTTGGCCTCTGAGACGTGAACACACACAGCGAGGCTCAAAGCCTCTCTGTGCTGCAGTTCTGTCTCTGCAATGTCATGCACATTTCTCTGGCGGGTCTCGAAGGGTGATGTCAGCTTACACTGTGTAAACGTGTGTGTGTGTGTGTGTGTGTGTGTGTGTGCACTCATGTCACACAGCTCTGGGTCTATAAGTATGTACATGTTTAATACAGTAATTACCTAATTATATGAACTTCTTTCATTTGCTTCTTTTCACTCTTTTGTGACTCCAAGTATTACACTGCTGTGTTTGCTTGTTTTGGGGCGAATAGCTGACGGGTTTCCATGGCGACCGAGCAGAGAAAATGAGGGTGATGACAGAAAGGGGTGGGATGATCTCACCGACGAGGTGTCCTCTCATGAACTTTGAACAATTATCCGTCATTAAGCCTGGAGACAGAAGCAGGTGTGTGTGTTCGTGTGTTACCTGTCGTCCACACAGAGGTGAGAGTCGTCCACTTTGACCACCGCCAGCCCGCCGCCCTCTCTGGAGCGACAGGTGAAGCCGTAGCGTCCATCAGGGTTCTGGTTCTCTTGAACAACCAGTAACATGGCGGGAGACTGCGGTGACACCAGCTGACTCAGGCTGCCGACGGCCAAACTCTTTTTCCGAACTTTCTCCTGAATCACACAAAAAAAAAAACAGGTTCACACAAGGAAACGACAGACACTCATTTAACGTGACACAGGCCTCAAATCCTTGATTCGCTCTACAAATTCAATCTAAATCTGCAGACTTTCTCAGCTTGTTGCAGCCTGAAGTGTGATTGTAATATGCAGAGGTTTTTTTGGTGTAACACATGCACACCTGGTGAGAATCTGCAGGTAAAGCAGCGATTAGCTGAGCAAGAAAACTGCAAAAATTCTGATTTTCATAATTCAAGATTCCTTTTGTCGTCATTTCAGAGCTGCAGAGGAGAAACAAATATGAGAATGACTCCATTAATACATGTAAATATTTAGAAAATAACATATTCATTATTAAAAGTCAAAACTAGTTTTTTTTTATTTATATATATAATACTGGCTCTAAATGTCCTTTTCTACAACAGAGTGTCAGGGCCACATTAAGAAAAAAATAAATTAAGATTTCGAGATTAGAGCCGTTAACTCACTGCCGTTTTATTACTTTATTATGGCTTTATTTTCATTAATAATGACTCATAAGTCAACGACTTTAATCTCGAAGTCTTAATACTCTGTCGTACTTTCCTGCTTTATAGATTTAATAAAAAAGCCAAACCGACATGGAAACTCTTACTTTCTTCATTTATAGTTTTTGGGGACAATAAAAATGACAGAGCAGCTTTTTTCCTTCTGATATTTTGCATATAGAGCTCCTGGGTAATTCGGGAACGATCCCTCTTTTATCTGTCATCTCCTCCAAAATGATGGTCTTCTTTGAAAAAAAAAGTGCTTTTATTTTGCGATGACATGTTTAGAGGTTTACAGTCAGGAGGTTCTGACTGACAGCGTTTTCAGCCCCGAGCGCCCTCGACACAGAGACGCCCTCAGCATTTCTGTCACGGCGCTCTCAGATGAAAACAGCTCAACAGTTTGAGCGCTGTCATGCTCATCAATGTCAAGAACTGGAGCAATTGTCCGTATAATTGCAGGAATTAGTGTTTGAATGAGTTAAGAAAAATTGACTTTTTATGCTGATGATCTCGATGTATTTGTAGGTCATAAAGACACATGCTAAAAGTCCCTACTGGAGCTTTAATGTTTTGGTAAACGCTGGAGAATCATAACATCATGTGGTCTATAATCTGTAAAGATCTTAGAGATTAGAAGACATTTCTTGGAGATTATGTAACAGCTTAATTCTTGGAAAGACTCCTGACACAACAGCAGGGGGGTCATCAATAACAGCGACGCTGCTGCGAGGACAGAAGACCACCTAGATGTGATGTGGTGATTAGCTCAGGAGGAGTAACACCAAAAGCAGCTCGTGAAAACTTGTGAGTCTGACCACTGAATTCCTCTGTCCTCTTACCCAGCCTCTCCGCGTCCTCGCCCCCTCCCCCCTTCAATGCCATGTGAATGCCTTGCAGCAGTGGATGCCGCCTTGCCTGGGTCAGGGGTCAAATCTAAGGCCTCCCTCTCCTCAGACAAGCAGGCCAGACAGGATATATTCGCGGAAACGCGGCTGAAGCCCCTTGAAAAGCACCCCCTAATGCGCTCGGTTTTCCCTTTTAGTACGCCTCAGTGTTGGACGTGAGCCAAGAGGCCGAGGAATTTTCTCTTCATATTCGCTTTGTTTATTCAAAAGATCTGATCAAATCCTGGACTACCTGGGCCAGACACAGGGCACGTATCCTGAGTACACACAAGACACGTCCCGCAGACTGTCAGTGAGCAATTAAGAGTTTAGTATTCAAACACAAAGATCACTCAGGAGAGGTGTAACGGCTCACTTTCCTCCAGCAGGAAAAAAAAGAGACAGGGATGTTTTTCCTTTTCTTACACTCAGGGGAACGTCACGGCAAAAAGATGGAGGATTTTCTCCAGACTGGATTTATCCTGAGCGCACCGTTTCTGTCAGGATTACCACAGACCTGCAGCGTACCAGGCCGGGTCTCTGACCTCCTCGGGCCTCACCGAACCAATCAAAGTCAAATGAATTTATAAAAGTACAACATCATAACACATTTGCCAGGAAACAAAGTATAGCATGAAGTAAACTCTGGTTGTTGCTGTAAACTTGAGCCCTAAATAGATGTAAACTTGTCATATATGGTGATGTAGTCCAGTGATGTAGTACCAAGGAGTAGGAGTGATGTCGGTTGTATGGCAGTGTTTTTCGTTCAAGTCCGAAAAAGACATTGCAGCTGAATGAAAAAGTTGTCATTCAACTTTTGTGCCAATATCAGATCAATATCAGTATCAGCCGATTCTGAAGGCTACAATATCTGTATCGAAAGTAAAAAAGTTGTATCGGGACACCCCTAAAGTTTTATAAACTGTTATATACGGTCCTTCATTGATTTTAATGTTTTTTATTATTCCGTTTTATCATTTATATTACCATCATTATTATTTTATTATGATTTTATCATTATTATTATCATTAATATCCACTTTTATACTTACTAGCCTGTTTCCTGCTTTCTGCCCTCCTTTTCTATTTCATTTTTTGTTTTTATTTTGGTCCTCATGGTCTCTTTTTATGTTGTAGGGTTCTTGTATTGCCTGGGTTTCTTATGAAAAATGAAATCGGCCTACAATTCAGAGGCTTTGTTTTTAACTGAGCTTTTGCTTTTATTTGTTTTTATTTTCATGTGCTGATGTTCTGTGCTTGCAACTGTTGTCAAAGCACTTGGTAAACTTCTGTTTTAAAGGTGCTATATAAATAAAGTTATTATTATTATTATTATTATTATTATTATTATTAAACAAGCTGGATGTTGTGCATTTTAATATCAGTAAAGATGAGTAAATTACAGACTCATATCAAACACTGACACTAAGAGGAAGGTGTGCATATTACTAGACATCCCCAGGTTATAGTAATCCAGCTATAATAGTTCTTATGATAGTAAATACATACTCGGCATGTTAGGTCACAGTGTTAAAAGTGGGAGCATTAACTCTTCTAGTTCTGTGTCTTGTTTAACAATCGCTTCAAACTAAAGAGCCTATTTTAAATCACTTCCATCACTTGTTGTCCTTCCTTCCTTCCTTCCTTCCTTGGTCTCTCCTTCTCCTTTCCTGTCGGCTGCTTTATTGATGCTCCCTGGTTGCGATAGCTCCTGGAGATTAGCCGGCTGATGATGAAATATTTCCTCATTGTCTGTAATGCGGGGCAGCCTTCGAGACCAAATACAGGGCGGTCTGCTCCTTATTAGAGCAGCAGCTCCATCAGTTCCCAGGCTGCTCCTCAGCTCTGACCTGTGTGTTAACTCTGATTAGGTCATATGATAAACATTAGCGCTGCTGCTTTTCCCACAAACTCAGCACCTAAAAAAGCGTGGCCCCGGGGCGGCAACGTGACACGGGGCACCTTTCAAAGCCGGAGCCGCGTGTGTCCTTTCATGGCACCTCGTTAGGGCTTCTCCAACGGGATAAAAGAGCCACATTAAAAAAGAAGTGGGCTCCTCCGGGGATAGATGGAGATAGTTTTACACACGCTGGCCCGTTTCTCCATCACTCGCTCTCTGTGGCTTTTGTCACACACATTCCATTGTCGGTATGGTCACAGGCTCTCGGATGTCAGCGCTAAACATCATTTTCTCAGAAAAAGTGCGTGTTCATCTGAAGGAATTCAGTCAGGCCCTCACAACGAGGCTAACTGCGCAGCTTAATGAAACAGGGGAGGCTGAATGGAGCTTTGTGTTGTCACTCAGGCGGACAGAGAGGACAAGATCAAAGATGACGGACATAATGCCGCTGCGCCGTACTCATCCCCCACAAAAGGAAGTGGTTCAGACAAGTTAAAGTGGCGAATCCTGAACGCTGCAGGGTCATTAAAGTCGCTCACTCCAGGTGATCATTATAAAACTATGATTTATGAACTGGGCCATGATATTTAACCTCTGCATGCTGTACTTTAAAGAACCAGTGGGGAATTTTCCACTTGGATCAGTTTTGGCGCCCCCCGTCGACCCTCTAACATCCCCTCTAAAAAAATCTAATCCTGCTGACTATGAAAGTTAAATATATAATTTTCGCTGACTCCTACCCCTCACACTAGTTTCAAGCATAAAAAAATGACAACATTAAAATTGTTGACTGTTGAGATTGATTTGTTAGTTGGAAGAAATGCTCTTCAGATATGTTGTTTTTTTCTGAGATTGCACAGTGAGGAAGAGTTTTCCACTCTCTGTTAGTAAAAGGGTGAAAAAAGCTGCTGTATTCTCATCTAACTGTTATTAAACAAACACTGTCACTCTGCTCTCTACACGTGTGCTTTAACCCGTGGTTATAGAGGGACCTCGTTCTCCTGCACTCAGAAGAAAAACTCTATTTGAAGTGAACTTCATCTGAGGGGTAAATTTGCATTTTCTCATGCAGGCTCTCTGGATGATGTCTGGACATGTTCAGGACAGAGGTGCATGTGTGTGTGAAAGAGGCTTAAGTTTCGCCTGCAGTTGATTTAACTTCACTGACTGAGCCTCAGAGTCTCCCTCTGTCCCCCTGAAGAAAACAGCAGTGAGAAGAAGAGTAACTCACTCCGATCAAACGTACCGTCACGTAACTTTCCTGTAAAGCGTTCTGGAGGTGAGCCACCTGTCGGGTCAGATGAACTATTGAGATCTCCTCCTTAAACACCTGACAGTTCAGCTTCATTTTCTCCAAGAGACGGACGTCCAGCTGTCTGATGGGAAAGGAAACATTTCACAAGAGTGAACAGAATATGCAGATACAGACCTTTAAAGAGGTGCTTCCTTGTCTTACTTCTTCTTGTGAGCAGCAGAATTGTTCATGTTGTCTCTGAGCGTCTGCAGACTCTGCTTCTTGTCCATCAGTCGGTTTTTCACCAGCTCCAGCCTCTCCTTCAGCTCAGCCGAGCCGAGCCTTTCCACGCTCACGTCTCCGTCCATGCTCTTTAACTCTGAGCAGAAGGCCACCAGACCGTGGTGGAGCTCCTGGACCTTTTAAAACCCATGAATCGGTTCAGAGCAGTGATTATACTCAATCCTTCTCTTTCTATCAAAGAGAGATACTGACCTGCAGGATGACGTTTTGGAGTGAATCCACCTGCTGGTTCAGCTCTCTGATTCGCTCTTCTTTCGCCGGCTGGCTCACCGTTACATTTTTGTTCACGCTGCTGTTCTCATTCGAACCCTTGACCTCTGGGTTGTCCTGCACAGCTGTACTTGACTTTTCCTGTGATACAAAGCTGATAGAGTTATCCACAGATCAGTAAAAGCCTGGATTTTTCATGTGAGTACTGACAGGATAATTTCACCTTTTTGCACAAATGAAGCTCCAGCTGTGTGTTTTCTGACGTCGATGTCAGGAGACTCCCGATCTGCTGATCTGATGGAAGGTCCTCTGCTGAGTCTTGAAATTAAAGCACATCAGTGGTTAAATAAAGGTCTTTTTCTAAGTGATAAAACCGTCTGATAACCTCTTGATTCAGTTTTTGGTCACCTTCTTTTTCTTTCAGGACAAAGAGGCTCTTATCTTCGCTCATATTCAACATCTTGATACATGAATCCATGACTTTTCCAACTGTGGTTTCCTTCGGGGTTCTGAGGTGAACGATACGCTCTGATGCTGCAAGAAAATCAACAATGAGAGTTAAAAAGATAAGCTATCTTGATCTCTTTATCTTGAATTATTCAGGTTTATACCCCCAGAATTATAGGAGTGTTTTTGCTCGACATATGTGTCCTCACCGTTGATAGTTATCTCTATAAGTTGGGAGTTCCTCTGTGCGCTGTTGTTGTTTCTGTGTAGAAAAAGGGGCAAATGGTTAAGATTAAGACGTTTTTGTCACTTTTAAAAGTTAGTTTTGCATTAAAGCGACTCTACCTGAGCTTGAGGGAGCGTCGATTCCTGCTCAGGCAGCTCACGTGAGGAGAGGACTTGGACTTGCTCATGGACACTAACGTCGCGGTAAAAGCTTCGACATTTTCAGGTCCTAAAGACTCTGAAAGAAAAAGGAATAGTCATACTTAAGTGCTTCTTTTAAAACTGTAACTGTAAATGTGTCTTAATAGATGAAACATTACCCAGCAGAGAGTCCAGTCTCCGGCTGATGGTGTTCGGAGGGTGCAGCTCGTTGTAAATGGCCGACAGCAGCAGCTCTCGGTCCTCCAGCGTGGTGATATGGAGGATTTCCAGAGTAGCCAAATCTACTGATGCAACGTCTGGTCCGCACAGTTTGGCCTCTGAAAGACGGAGATAAAATCATCTCGGCAAATCTGACGGATATGACTCAGAAAAAGAATAAGTGATCCACGACAAACTCAGAGGAGAAAGATCTGATAAATGTTTCCTACAAGTTTTTGCATGACTGGATGCTGCATATTTTGATGCATAACCTGGTCAGGAGTGAACAGGTGAGGTTGTTTTCCATCAATGTCTTTTCTCTGATGGAATTACCGTAATACAGAGAATATAAGTCCATAAATCTTCGTGTTTATTATCGCGTTCATCGCTGTTCAAACATGATTGATGCTGTAATGAGGTCAGGTTCTCAGGTCCCTGAATTAAGGAGCTTATTAAATCATATTTTCTACGTCACTCAGTGTTTTGAAATCATGTGTGATAAGGATCAATCAAATTGGAAAACTCTAATCTTTATGAGCTTATTTCCTTTGACAGTAAAAGCTTATTGATCTATATGATAGCTCTGTTTTGATTTGAGGATAAATCTGATTGGCAGCGTCTTCAGTCGTTAAGTAACCACAGGGCTGAAAGACGAGACCGTAAAAGAAGAAAGCGTCTCACCTTGAATGAACGGGAGACATTTCTGCAGCCCGATACTGGAGAACCACTGACAGACTTCCTCGGTGTTCATCTCACGGAGAGGCTTGGCGTCTTGTTTGTCGGTATCCTGAGTAGAAGTAGAGGATATTGATCGGTCAATACTGGAATAATCTCAAACATCGATTCATCCAATAATCTGTCTGAAGGGTTGAGTATCAGCCAAATTTGGGTATCAGGGGAGTTTTCCTAAACCTAATTCAGTCTCTTCTGCAGATATAACATGATTGGATTGATCCTTAAATTCTGAAATTTTGCAGCAGACTGTCCGCCTGATTTAAGTCCTGAAGAGATAATTCAATCAACAAATAAACTCTGACATTAGAACAATAAACATCCAGTTTATCCGCACAGCTCTTTTAATTTAGTACTTACATATTGTCAGTCTAATGTTTTAAACTGAAATTTGATAAAATTCAGATTCACTCTGCACAAAGAGGTAAAGGTGTTAACATGATTAATACTCTGATCAGAGCTGTTTGTTTAGGTGTTAATGTACAAATCATAGACTATATAAAATGGAAGTCATCTGCCTCCTCACTGGGTGAAGCCACTGCAAGAACAGCACCCTCTAGTGACGGGCTGCAGTATAGGTCATAGAACCAGACGACGACTGTTGTGAATTGGCGCTATATAAATAAAATTTGATTGATTTGATTGGAAATACACTGATTTAGTGATTTTGAGCCTGTAAAGGAGTTGTCCTCAACAAAAACTATTGAAAGCGTGGTTTTAGTTCATTACAGCTTTGATTCTAGAGGTGAATTTTCACTCAGACAGATTCTGCTGGGAACCACAGAGTGATGGGGATTCTGGACGTGACGCACAAAAATGAATCAGACTTGCATGTAAAAACATTTTGAGCTCTTGATGCATGAAGACAAAACAGGATTTAACTCCTCGACACTTAATCACAGTCTGTGTCGCTGATTCATTAGCAGAAAGCGCTGAATAATCATGTTTGACATCTTGAGCTAATAAATGCATTTGTGAGATAAACTGTAAACAAATGTTTAAGCAGGACAAAGAAACGTTTGCTCTGGCTGAGAACTTAAACACAGGTTTCTACATGATCTGTGCATTAGTCACTAATTCTCTGTTTATGGTTTATGTTCCTGGGAAGAAAAGTTCAGAGTCTCCTGCTGCCAGAGAGGCTTTATAAGCTGACAGTGGAGTGATTAGAAAAAATGATACGGGGGATGTTGCTGTTGTGTTTAAAGAGACTTAAAGAATAAACTCTGTTGGATCATAATTTACCAAAACTAGAAAAATAAGCGGCAGTTCTCGGCTGTTTAGTCAAATTTGAGGTCCCGCTGCGGGACTCGAGTGTGAGGTATGGCTGCCGCCGATCCATGTTGCATAGATTACTGGAGAAAAATAACAATAATAGAGATAATAGATGCAGGACATGAGCAATTTAGCTCCGAAAAAACTTTTCCGTTCCGTGTTTCAGCTAACACATGGATTGCTAAGGATACAAGAAATCTCGCTTGGCAAATCCTGGACACACAGACTAAAATCCAGAGACTATTTGCAGAGTCATTGCTTTGACAGATCAAGTGAGCTGGGAAATATAAACAGAGCATATTCTGTAATTGCAGCAGCTCTGGGCTGCGTGCTGATGCCACCCTGAAGGCCCCGCTTTGATGGTTTACAGTACCTTCTCGGGGAAGTTTCCATTCTGATCTGAAGACTGGGGCATAAAAGATGCTGCGAGAAAGCAGAAGAGTGTCAATCCCAGTCAGACGTCTGTTTTTTAATACTCATACTCATCACAAAGCTTTTTTATTTAGTCCTTTTTTTCTGCATTTGTCTCAACTTTTGTTCACATAGTCATCAACTAAACTGAGGAAAACACAAACAATAACAGTTTGGGCTTAAGCTGCGTTACAGGTCTGAATGAATGTAAATAAATGCTGGGGAAACATTACGAGGGTTAGATGATGCAACAAAAAATAAAATATTGTTTGTTGTGATTCAAAATAAGTTAATTTTAAGACTTAAATGTGAGTAAAATTAAGTTTTATGTTAATATTGATCTAATCACCTTTAGATCAATACTTAGTGTCAGCTTGTTTATATCTAAAGTTCAGGTAAAAGTGGGACGATGTATAATGAGTGGGTAGTTATGCGGTGTAGAATACTCTGCATTATCAGCCTGTATGGAGAGCAAAAGCAGGCAGAACAGAATCCAGTGTAATGACAGCTCAGCAGCACTAATCTGAAACTATTAACAGACATCCTTGATATCATCAATCCTGACTAGACTCACCTACGGTTATCCGCCGTTCTCGTGGAGAGTCCCCCTCCTCCTTGTGGTCGGCCGTCTGGGTCAAAGCGTGAAAAGTGGCGCTCCTGGTCAGCTTGTCCTCCAGACTGCAGGAGCGAGTTATCAGCCTCTGTCATGTCATAGAAGTTTCAGATAAATTTAGACTGAAAATCCAGACCAATCTAATCAATTTACAGTCAGCGAGTATTTTCAGCTTCATGAGATGTAAAAAAACAGTCACCGTCTAAATCAGATAAAGTCGCTGGATCCAGGAATGTGTAGTGACTCTATATGGACACCTTTGAAGACATTAAAGCTGCATGCATGTGATGTACAGTATGAAGAGATCATGAGAAAACTCTCCAGGGTCAAAATATTCATTGCATGGTTTTCATACCCGCTGGTGGGTGAAAGTGTCCATGTTTGCGGTGTTTGGAAGAGGACAAAGATCGGCTCTCAGCATGTCTGCACAGCTCACATCTCTGTTGGTCAGGTCATCTGCAAATAAACCAAATCAAAAATTCAGTCAATAAATAAATAAAGGGCTTATCTCTGTTTGTCTGGGGAAAGCAATTCAATCAAATCGTTAAGGCCTCAATCATCAATATTTTTCTTGTTTTCTTAAATTTGTTTCTCAGAACACGTCCAAGAAAAGTCTGGAGCAGGTTCATGACCTTCAAGAAAGATTTATTTTCATAAGCTCGAAGCTTTTATAAGTTTTGTTCCCAAGATAAAACCTTCAGTATTCCAACCAAGAAAACACCAAAGTGCCAAAAAGTTGCAGTTCCACAAGTGTCCACTTGGGGCTGGCCCTGAGAGCGAAGTAAGCCCATTAACACCCATGTTAAAATGTCTAACTTTACTTGAGAGACAAACATGGTTGTGGTGGTCGCCATATTGGAAATACTGCCTTAAAAAAAACTTAAACGCAGCGTGAAAGAGGAAGTTACGCAAATATCTTCATATATTATTATATTATAATATCTAGCTCAGTCTGTAAACATGAGCATTTTTCCTGGAAAGGAAGAGTGTTTGTGTAGCTGACAGAGCTCTAGTGGACACTCGAGGAACTGCAGTTTTAGCACTTCCATAATGACTCCATATTCCATAACAGTATGTAGCTTTTTTTTTAACTATTACTTTTGCAGAACATCGTGTTTGAAAGCTGAAAATTTAAACTCAGGAACATGAACACTTAATTATACTATGATTAAAACGTATAATTTGAACGGCTCTGCTCTGAGAGTTTCCGTCCCCTCAGTGTCGTGCAAACATGAAAAACTATGGCAGGGAGAGCAGCAGCAAAGTAGGAGACAATACATTTGACGCCAATAGAATCAGTAGAATCATTTTAACATTTTCCGATTAGATATGCAGACGGTACTCAGCTGTTAATTTACGTACTTGTGTTAAAAAAAAAACATCATAAATAACAACTCTGTGTTGTCTGCAAATGTGTCTGAATGTGCTCCTGAGAGTTCATGGACTTGGTTCCCACCCAATGCAAACCCAGATAAGAGACCTTTGGTGAATGTCGGATCTTGAAAACCGTACAAGTTTGAGGAAGAACCGTCTTCCTGTGAGCGGTCGATGAATGAGGCTTATTGTTTTTACCCTTTTAAGGCTCTCTCCCCCTTTGGTTGTCGTCCTTTTCTGGCGCTCAGGTCAACAGGTCTATTTGCAGTTTATTGCTGATACTAGATGCAGCTAGATGGGGTTGCTTGGAAACCTTTTAGAAACACTAAAGTCTGTCTGGTGGATGACATACTTCTCTGACAACCCGAGCTCTTTCCCACAGAAAGCTCATATTCTTACATTTTCCAAATGTCACTTGGTCAACGAGCAGATATCTTTTTTTTCTGCTATCATAACAAGCAAGACGAATGAGGCTGAGAATATGGCATCAGGCTCAGCCTCGCTTTCTCAGGCAGCTCAGCTCTGGGATGTGAAAGTGAAAGATGCAGGAATGTTTGCACTTCAACTCGTACCTTCACAGATTATCCCAGAAAAAGGAAACAGAAGTCTTTTTAAAGAGTTAACCCAACAAATATTTGCTCCTAATTTCTTAAACACATGTTTTTCATTTGAGGAGCCTGTTTCTGAGAGGCCGGTTTGACATGGATGGAGGTTTAGATGGAGGCAGAATCAGATAAGACGCTGTAATTGGTTTATGTGTGTCAGCAGAGGAATCTCGTCTGGGTCCTGAAGAGACAGTGGAGTACGAGGAGGAGGAGGAGGAGGAAGGGCTGCGAGCTGGCACTCTCTTCATCACCTGGCTGGTCTGTAGCTTCACAAACTCAAAACTGTCTCTACCAGAGCAGCAAAGTGAGAAATGTGATGAGTGTTGGTGAAATGTGATGATGTGAAGCAGCCTCCTCTTCCAGCCCGACCTCAGACACAACAGTGTGTCTTTGAAATTCGGAGAAAATCACTTCCAGCTTCGCTCGCTGATTTCTTTTCACCATGCATGGGAGACTGGAGGAAAAATTGGACCCTCTCGAACACCCACCATACCACAGCCATGTTCAAACTACACACAGACTACCACTACCGGGAAGAGGCCAATCAAAACAAAGAGCGACAGGAAACTCTGGGCAGGCTGATGTTGCCTTACAGGGTGAAATCACCAGAAAAGGATGGACGGACTTCATCACCGCCGGACTGACTAATTTAGGACACGTCCAAGCATGAGAAGGTCCTCTGAGACGTCTGTGAACAAGTGACAAGTTTAGAAAAAACGCCCTGAATTCATCACAAATTTAAAAGTTTATTTGTGTTCTGCAAATACTTTAACGCTCCCATGAGAAGTTTTTAACCGGTTACCAAACTGACTCAAACTGGTGCTGATGCCTTTTTATGACCAGACCATCGGAAACAGGAAACAGCTGTTTATGGAGACTATAACAGCTGGTATAATATCTTTAAGAATAAGCTCTAATCAAGAAGCCATGTATTTATGATTATGTGTGATATAACGGAAATATAATGAGGTTTGTCCCATGCCGTGGCTGATCTTAGTGACTGAGCATCGATAGCGATCTAAAACATCTCACACTTTTTTTTTACATATACTAGGTTTTTATTGAGGGTTAAATATTTGCAAATGTCTTTACATGGTTTTGGTACGTGTTACACCGTCTACTGTTGTACTAACAACCAGAAAAAGTTCAATTTATGGTTTGGAAAGTGTTCCTGTGACCCTCGCTACTATTTCAATCATCTGCCTTTATATGACTCAAACTCCTAAACCTGAGGAAACCACAAAAGACTGTCTGTGTGTTCTTACTCAGCTCTACATTTGCTTTTAAGATCATAAAATCATCTCAAATAACAAAACACGACCGACCCTATAGCTACCGATAAGCCGCAGCCTTGGTCTACAGCAACAGTGCCGACAAAGCAGCTAAATATGCTAGTTTATGTTATTTCAGATCGTTTTTTATATCGTCCTCTGATCACTAGATAGAAGAGAGCAGCAGAATGATGACAATGTCCCTGTTGTGACAGATGATGATGTTATTGCTCTAATAATCACAGTTAGTGGACAGTTGCTACAGAAAATGACAATTTCCACGTCCAGTAACTGAAGACACGCCCATAATTCACACAATGCATCATGGGGGCTGGTAATAAGGTGGATAAGACCTCACAAGAGGATTATAAACATTCATAAGTATTATGAAGTTGACCTTAATCTTGTTTCCTGTCTCCATCTACTCAAGGATTGAAACTCTGTAACTTGACTTGGTCCGTTTGTCCGAGTGCATCATACATTCAGAATCCTCATTTCTACACTTCTAAAGATTCTTGACGAACTTCTCAAGCGTACACCGACACGATGATAAGCCGCTCCTTTTTTGGAGTGCAGACACATACTGAGCAATCAGGGTTTGCTTCATGACACACTCTGACAAGCATTCACACACACACACACACACACAGACACACACACACTGGATTAATGACCGAGCAAAGCTTTAGACTTTTCAGCACATTTCTGTAATGGATAGGCGGAGGCGATGCTTATCGATTCCAGTAGCATTGTCCTCCTGGAGTTTGAAAAGAAATGAAGCTCTTTGAGAGACGAGCGAGGGAGGAGAGCATGCTGAGTCACAGGAACCCAAAACCTGGGAACCACCTGCCCAGCCACGCACTGGGAATACGCTCACAAAGGCTAAAAAGGGACCGGGACAAAAGGGGAACTTCTGCAGCTCCCAAAGGAGGCGTTTTAGGTACTGTAGCCATGTCACATAATGACGGCAATTTCTACTGAATGGGGAGCTGAGATCAAAACGCAGATGCAACACATGAGCTCAGCAGCTGGATGGAGTTCATCTGGTGCTGGTTACCTCTCACCTGGGGTTTGCCAAATAGAAACACAGAGCAGATTAACCTCAGAGAAACTCACCCAAGTTCTGCTCAGTGAAGGACAGAAGATTGATCCCGGCGTTGTAGCTCCCTGAGACAGAAACAGAGACACAGAGAGGAGCATGAATGTCTGAGCGAACTTTCACTAAACAGTGGATTCTTTCTAAAGGAGGTGATAGCCTGTGTCGGTACCAGATGTTTTTGGGCTGCCGGATCGGCACGGGGCCTGGTGCCTGGTCATGACATCACGCTATATGATTGGCTGGAAGTTAGTTGTTGGTGCGGACATTAGGGAAGTGGTTTTCAACGGATTAGGTTCTTGAAGTTCTTCAGAGAAAACATGGACGAATTTCACACAGCAATCTTTCACTACTTATCAGAGGGGACCAACGACAGCCGGACGACTGTCTTTTTCCAGGTTGCCAAAGGAAACGTGGATTAAAAGCAAAACTACCTTTTGATAAATGGAGATTTTCTTTTTCATTTAGAAAAGTTAACATCTACAATTAAAGCTTTTAAAAATTACAGGACAGTAAGTTGTAATTCTCTGTATTATATGGAGAGGAACAGAAATAAAGAAAACCGCGAGGGGCTTTTAATTGAGCACATTTGACCGATTAAATGGAGCTGAATGTAGTTTGTCCGAGTGGACTTGCCATAGTTTGACATCTCCAACAGGCGCTTGGCCCCAAGCTGATCTGGCAACCCAACACATCTGGTACCAACACCGAGCCCCGACCAGCATCTCCAGTGCAACACTTCCTAAAAACCAGAACTGCCCCTTTAAAAAGGATGCTGGTTTGATAATATTTCATCATCTGAAAAGGAGAAATACTGATAGCATACTAAAAATGATCATTAGCCGCTGTATGGTAGAGGGGTCATGGTTCTACATGCTGTTTGCCACCCATTAAAGATGAGGACAACACAAAGGAAAGATGAAGAAGAAGCAGAAGCAGCTGATAGCGAGCTAACTGTAGCAGCTGCCTGACAGCTGTTGTTTTATTTTTTACCCTGAATTTTCCAGATGTTGATACTGCATCAAAAATAAGTAAACAGAGGTATTGAGTCTTGGTGGTGGTCGTAACTACACAAAGCAAAACATAGAGGAGAGAAGGAAGAAGGAGAAGCAGCAGCTGCAAGCTAGCAAGCGAGCAAGCTAGCCAGCGTTTGGTTGTTTCACCATCACTCTGCTGAACTCACTTTTCTGAGGGAACTCTGGCAGAGCAGCTACCTGGAAGCTCCCACATAAGAACCTGGACTTAGTTTTCTCTTTCTGGTCTTCTTTAGCAGGTTCAGTTTCTCTTTTATCTTCGATCTGATCGCTCAGACTCTCGGCGGACTCAGCTTCGCTATCTTCGCTCATCTTCTTCTCAGAGGATGTGACCTCCTCCTCCTCCTCCTCCTCCTCCGGTGGCTCCTCGGCTTCATTCCTCTCCATCCTGTCTTCACCACCCTCCTGGTCACCATCACAGCCGGATGCGTGTGCCACACTCTCCTCTGAGTAAACGTCAAAGAACTGGTCGTCGTCAGCCACGTCTGAGGGAGTGGGCGGGATCAGGTTGATGACGGGTCGTGTTAGGAGACTTCCTGCTGGCGTGCTTTCATTGCCGCTCTCAAACAGCAGCTGATCGTCCTCTTCTTCTTCATCTTCCTCACCGCTGGTCGAGGTGACAGTAAACTCACTCTGGGGCTGAACAGGCAGCGAGGACAGAGGCCTGACTCGCCTCTTCTTCTTCAGGGCCCTCGGACAGGCGGACACAGAGCTGGCCGAGCGGGCTATGATGCTCCTGGAGGTCAGGGGGTCCTCCTCGAACAGGCTGAAGCTGCCGTTAACTATCCCCAGATCCTCCACTGTGATCTGGATAACCTCCTTCTCACCTGATCCATGTTGATTCAAGTGTGGAAGCTGAGGGCCCCCATTAATCTTCTCTTCCTGCTCCTGCAGAGGGTCCTCCTCATCCTCACCGTGCAAACACGAGCAGCAGAAAAACCTGCGAGAAAGACGCCGAGTGCTCTTTCTCCATCGGCGCCTGTGAGGCCGCTGTTTGGCTGTAGCTGGATCTGCAGAATCCATACTGCTAAACAACCGTCAGATATACCTCTGCAGACTAAAGAGGAGAGAAACGAGCGTCCACACCTCTGAGATACGACGCCGCTCTGTGATAAGGCCACAGCATCCGGACACAACACAAACACTCGTCTGTGACATGTTGCTGTGGAGAAGAGTGAAAAAAACACACCATTTCATGCTCTGAGGGTCAGCTGAACACTTGAAATGGATGCAGGACGTAATCAGCAGGCTTTGATATGTTAAACAGCTGCTTTTTAGACACAGCTCTGATTTCAAAGGGCTGTAAGAAGACTGCACGACCCTCCCGCTATAACAGCATCCGAGAAAAACGACATTAATATGGAGAAAAAAACGTTAAAGAAAAGGCTGATAATGAAATCAGGCATTTTCAGTTACGCTCAGACAAGTGGTGATAAATAATAACAAAGAGACTGTTCAGTATTTCCTGAGGGACAAAGTTGATTTGATTTTTATTAATTTATTGCAATTTAATTCAACTGTCCTGTCTAATAAAAGTGACAATGCCCAAAATTATAACTTAAAATATTTAAATTAATTTACAAAACACGACCCATCTCCTTCCTGATTGGCTGCTTATTGATCAGAGAGCAGTTAATGATCATGATTTGACACATTATTGATATTTATATGACTTACAACAAAACATGATTATATTTGATTATCCCACCTTGGGCGGGAAAGTTGAAAGAGGATGACTATTGACTTGACACTAGTTTGTTGATCCTTTATCATATTAAACCTTAATTATCAGCATGATTTTTTTCATAAATAAGACAGACTTTAATTTAAAAAGCAGTTATCAAACCTTTAACTCCTGATAAATAGATCTCCTCTGACGTCCTAATTTTTGCAAAAATTGGTGGCAGCAGGCAGCAAAGCCAGAGGTTCAGTGACATGTCTGCCAACAAAGCCAGGTATTGCACATGAAGGATACTCTGAAGAGCTGGCCCAAAGTTCCCACCACTGATGCTGAGCTGTTGGAAAGAAGGATCCAAACCTGCTCTTGCATGTTAAGACGGATCATAGACAACTTAAGCGTGACTTTTGTAGACCTGAAGTTATCTGTGTGTCTTTTGTGTCCTTTTCTGTTTCGGCAGGACCAGAGGCAGATTGCCAGACTTTGTAGAGGTTTTTAACGTTAACAATGAGGATCAGTTTGAGCAGGTTTAACTGATATCAAATTGAAGTCTGATTAACAGATTAACGGTTAATTTTTGTGACTAACTGTACCTACTTCAGATCGAGAAACAACGTCAAAGCGCCTAACTTTAGTAACTTCAAGTTTGGCGCCCCCTGTGGACAAAGCTGTCTTTGCTTCCTGCTGACTTTAGACTAAATTTGTCATTTATTGTGAATATAGTCGGTGGAAACAGTAAAAACAGCAGTTTCTTCACCTCTCGCCTCTAACCAGATTCAGGGAATTATAACTGGACCTCTAAAAACCACCATTTTTGTCCCTGATGGTCTTGTTTGCTCTTGTTTATCCTAAAAAGGCATCATCATGAGTTTTACTCTAATCCATAAATAGTTTAATAAGCTTCTGTCTAAATCTGTATTAAATCCATCCCCCTGTGAATGTGCCGCGGTGCACATGTCCGTGTCGGGGCATGTTATGATATTATTACAAGTCCGTGTTGGATTTCTCTGCGGGTCATCTGCAGCTTTTATAGAAACAGGTGAGAATATGGGCAGGCGGATGCTGGGCTCATTCAGCCCCTATGGCGTCGGATGACATTTCCTTCATTCCACAGGCCCCGTCCTGTTCCCTGCTACACGATAAGTCATCCAAGCGTCAGCTTAAAACCATTCTGCCACACCACCCACATCGAGTGTTGCATGAAAAGATGATATCCCTGCTTTTTTTTTCTCACGCCCAGAAAGTGACAGTGGAGTGATGGGAATAATTACCCGGCCAGGATCCACCTCTCACCTCGCTGCCCGACTTTGAAGTGAAAGGAAGCTCCTACTGTTTGTTTCTCTAACTCCGACATTACTCTCCTCTGTTTCTCCCATTTCTACCACCATCAGCGTTCGGTTTCTACCTCAAGGAAACTCAGCTTCTGTGTTTATTAGCCAGTTTTCCAACGCCAAATAAATCAAGCTGCCTACACTTTGTGAAATCTACATTATCTTCCTCGGGTTCGAGTTATTCCACATATCTTTTTCTGTCGTTAAAACCAGCGCCAATTCGTTTCATTAGTCACACTCGTATGGAAAACTCAGCTCTATGTGTGAATTAAAATCCACCACAAAGGTTGACTTAATTAGACTTTTAACAACACTGACGGTTTTTTCCCAAATAAAGCCGACCTCAGACGGAGTAACTCTTCTAATTTAAGCTTAACAATTTGTTGGCGTGCACTTGTATAATTCCTGCAGATATAAGCTAAAGTAGTTCATTGTATTTGTCGAGTTACTGTGAACTTCTCAGGTAATAAAGTCCCAGAGTGTCTTTGTTGCCAGGCACAAAATTGCAGCACCTCGAGGTGGTTTCAGTGGGAGGCCAGCTGACTATTGACAGACTCAGTGCAGGAATGAAGGCTCTTTGTCAGGCAATGAAAAGTGCTTTTATACCCATGTCACTCAAGAGACCCACATGATGGTTTCCACAGGGAGGAAAGGGAATAGAGCGAACAACATGATCTCACAATCAGAGGGAGAGGAGATGGTTTACAGCGTGACACAGCAAAAACTACAATCCCAAACACCAGCTGAGGCTTCCTGCACATTTAGAGAGGCGAGGAGGACGCGTATTAGACAACATGACACCTGCAACAATAAGTGTTTTATCCATGAAAGTAACGCTTATTTTTACAGGTTTCTGTCCTTAATTAAACTTTTTGCTGCTTTTTTTCATGCAGATTCACCCAAATTTACATCTGGATGTATTGTGGTGCAAAAAACGCTAAAAGACAACTGAATACTGTAGTTCTACTGAAGATAAAATCAACATTTCTGTGATTTACCAGAGCGCATGCAGAAATACATCAAGCTGCAAGTAAAAATCAGGTTTATTTCTCCAAATTATGATCTCTGATTTGATATCCTGGTGTTTGCATCGTTTGCAGTCCGAAAAATAGTGAATTATTTTAGTATCTGAGGAAGTTATGCTGTGATTTTTCTTTAAAGATTATAGACCCAAAGAAATGTTGCCCCAGAGATGCATGAGATAAAGATAAGTTGTGACATTTAGGAGCTAGTTCAGACATGCAATTCATGCTTCACTGATTTCCCACGTGGCATGTGTCATTCTACTCTCACCTGGCCAACACGCCCTCACAAATTCAAGCTGCAGGATTTATTCATACAAAAATTCAGCAACAAAACGATCAGACCGAAACAGCAGGACTCTTTAAATAAGGTCCATAAAAGTCAGGTGAAGCAGGTGCCGACAGACGGACCAGTTTCCAGACTTTTAACAAGGGACTCGAATCCATTCAGGCTGACTGAGTTTTGCAGGTTTAAATCAGTCATTCCAGAAAACCTAAAAGCTTTACTGAACAGACGCTAAGAACTTCTTCTCTAAAGATTAAAAAAGAGCAAAGATAGTCCAGTATTTTACCCGGATTGGCTTTAAAAATACAGATCAACCAAGAGTCGAGCAGCATGAACCCAAAGCAGCAATTTCTGTTTCAGTTTTTGCAAATTAATCTTCACAATTACAAAGTCAGTCAGCATATCTGATTGTTTTGGTTCTTTGGGAGCTCTGCAGCAGACGGCCTCACCCCCAATACAACGTGAACTTGATCTGATTTTAAGTGTTTTTCTGCAAAACCTCTGATAAAAGTCTGAAAGAGTGAGTAGTAAAGTTTCAGGTTTGGAGGAGGAGTCTGTGTGAGAATCTGAGAGGAGTGGTCTAGAACTCCTCTCCTTTTACTTCCTGTCATTTCTACTCCCACATCTTCTCGCCAGGCCTCTCATAGATGATCCTGTGAAAGAATCTGTAAATGTGACTCAAACCTGGTCAGTACTACATGAACAACATAAGGGGGCAGAAGAGAGCAGACACACACCACGACCGGGACATAAAACAGGACCCAGCACTTCTTAGAAAGACCTCCTCTGGTATTCACAAGTCTGGATAAAGTTAAACCACACAAGTGCTTTCCATTGGCGGCCTACTGAGGCTGGCTTTTTGATATCTTGATCCGGTATTTGCAAGAATATCAAGTTTGGTGGAAATCCCTTTTACATGTTGTTTGAATATACACGAGCAGTAGGGAGCGAAAAGATATCTGCAGGATTACTGCAGCGTCTCTGCTTTACGGGACATGTTTGAAATTAGCCGAAAATCTGCGACCTTCCTGGCAGATTTATGGAAAATTAGTTCCTTATGATAAATGTAGAGAGACAGTGTAAGTGACAGAGCAGACAAAGATGAATGCTTCACAGCTGCCTGAGCCTGGGGCCATTTGTGGGAGAGATGATTGAGACAGACATGGGAACCCACGAGTCGGCTCTGAGTGACGATTTACATTTCAAACTTTTCTAATTATTTGTTTTTAACTTCGTCTTCAGGGTTTTGTTGGACTTTCTCTCTGCATGCATCAAGTTTACTACGTTTCTGAGCATGCTCAGAGCGGTATAGGTTCTGGACGCACTGCCAACATCAACAGCAGCCCTCACCTCTGCAGCGCACTTAAACATGTTGAACATTTCCTCTGACTGTCATGTTCCCATAGGCGTCAGGACTGCGGGTCCACATCAGCTGTGGGTTCTGTGGTGAACATGACCCTGTTTGGCCATGCAGAGCGCTCACACACAAAAAAAAAGAGAAAAAAAGAAAGGAGGGAGAGAGAAGAGGCTTTTTCTTCGCTCTAATTCACAGACGAGGAGAACGCTTGAACCAGCCTGTAATTGCATTTACTAAACAAGACAGCAGCATGAGTCACTTTCCAGGGGCACGGAATGTCACCTCTTCCTGTGAAACCAGGAGGAGCGGAGGGAGTTATTTCTTCAGAGCAACAGTCACAACCCTCTTT